AAAATCCGCCGTGGAGGACCTTAAGGGTTCTCCCATGACGCTGAAAGGCTTGGCTGGCGGAAACACGAGGCAGACAAGACATTTCCGGCGGCAGCTTCGCTCCCAACTCATCGAAGGGAAATTCGGCTGGCTCCGCGGGGCTTTCCCCCCCCCCCAAGCTTCAGACACGGGTGGTTGTGCAAAACCACAATATTCCACCTAGCCAGTTTGGGGTTTTTAAATGAATATTTTCTATACATTTCGTCGTACATTGATTAGCGGCCCTTGTCAAGTTGAAAAGCACGAAACAAGTAAATGTGGACTCACAAACTGACCCGGGTCGTTACCGGAGGGAAGCCTCTGGGTCCTCGGCTCCAGCCCCTCTCCAAGGAGGCCCAGTGGAGGGAAGCGGTTCCTTCCCCTTAGAATCGATTGGGTGGCCCTTTGCTCTGATCCTGGACCCGATGGTCTCAATGCCAGTGCTGGGAAGGGGCTTAACTCTGGCGTCTCACCCCTTTGTGACTGGCATTGGTGGGGGTCTTGCTTGAGAGGGGCACCCCGTATTCCAAACCCAAGATTTCGGTTATTGGGGGGGAAGCGCTGGCCAGAGTTCCTGCAGGAGTGTGGGTGTGGGCAGGTGGAGGGCTCACTGCCCCCCGCCCCCTGCACCAGTGCCTGAGGAGTGCGGTTTGGGGGACAGTCGTCCGAGGACCCCACAGATGGCTCCGGGATTTTGGGAGTCCTCATTCCCCCCCCCCAATCAACTTTTCCAAACTCTGCCCAAGGCACTGAAAAGTTTATCTTCTAGCCAAGAAAGCAAATCATCCTGCAGGTTTTCAAGAGCCAGCAGAGGAAAAAAAAAGGGAAGGCAGGCACATCTCCCACCCAAGCCTGGAGAAGGCAGGGAGAAAGCGGTTCTCCGATACACTTCCCAGAGGCAGGTTGGCAAGGGCAGAAAAAGAGAGAGAGAGAGAGCGTCGATTCAGGGGCAACTGACGGCCTGCCTCACGTTTATGTCTGTTGCATCCCAAAGATCTCACTTGGAATAAACTGCCTCTCCGTAGATGCTGTGGTGGCTTTTGGGGTGTTGGTGCTTTTTTTTGTTTGTTTGTTTTGGGACATTGGCTGCTCTTGTTTTTAAAGATCTGGCCTCCGCAAATTAAGCCACCCGTCTGCCGGCTGGCCTGCCTGTTCTTTTCTTTTCCAAGTTGGAGGAGGGGACCCTCCCCGGCACGGATCCTTGTGAAATGTGGGCGGTCTCGGTTGGCGTGACTGTCGGGTGCCCGCGCACAACACCTCCTGAAAGAGGGCACTGATTTGGGTAAAGTGGCGCGGGCCACTTTATAGGTTGTTGTTGTTGTTGTATCCTCGTTAAGTTGTGTCCTCCTCTTAGTGACCCCATGGATCAGAGCACGCCAGGCCCTCCTGCCTCCCAGAGTTGGATCACATTCATGTTGGTCGCTTCGGTGACCCTGTCCATCCATCTTGTCCTCTGTCGTCCCCTTTTCCTCTTGCCGTCACACTTTCCCAACATCATGGTCTTTTCCAGGCAACTTTATAGGTACAGATGCCCAATGAGAAGAGGTTTTTTTTTAATTTAAACCAAACTGCAGTGCGTCTGACTCCAGGGAAGAAAATGGGAGCCGGGGACTCTCTGGGTTTGCGGGTGAATCTGGTGCCCGCAGAGGCCGTTTGCGATGGACGGTGGGTTGGCTCCTTCCCTCCTGCTAGTCCTTGATCCGTAAATCAGACCATTCAGACAGGACAGTCCTTCAGTGGGAGTTGGGGTGGTGGGTGGGGCACCAGGGGGAGGGGACCTCTCTGTGTGCAGTGTTGTGTTTTATTGTGTTGTGTTGTTGGAGGGCACTCGATCTTTTCCTCTTTTCTCATGTTCCTGCCCAAGCCTGGGGCCAGACTTTTACGAGCGGTTTCTTTTCCGAGGGGCGCTATTAAGGGTGCGTTTATGAGCCCCACAGACACCTGGTCCTCCCTCTCTCTCTGCCCACGAGGGCAGGGCGCAAGCTGCCTGTAATTAAGCCGTCAGCGTGGGTTAACAACTGCACTGGGAACCGTGTCCTGGATTTAATTAATAAACTCTCCATGTAATGCGGGGGGTGTGGTCCTGTCCTCCCTCCCGACTCTTGCCATGGGTTGAGGTGGGGATGGGGGGGACTGGCCTCCTGGGGCTCACGACTCCTCTGGAAGACATTGGGGGTGTCGGAGGGGAAAAGGACCCAGGCGTCCGGGCTGGTCACACCGTGAACTGAACCTGCTCCATCGGATCTCTCTCCCCCATAGGTCCAGAGTTTGGAAAAGTTCATTTTGGGGCAGCCATTTGGAGAGTTCACCTGGGGGGGGGCTTCCGTGTCCCCCCCCACACCTTTTCTAAACCTCACTCGCTTTGGCTCTCATGGGGCCAAACCCTCCCCCCACACATCTGGGATGGATTTAGACAGGAATGAGTGGGAGATGAAGTTGCAGTTGTGGGGGGGGGACGCTACGAGGGGACGGTGGTGTTTCTGACGGAAAATATGACTGGGTAGGGAGGAAGTCAAGTGGATGCCAGCAGGTGAGGAGGGGAGAATAGATGCGGGACAGGTCCTCTCTCGCCTAAGTGTCATGTGGGGGCGGCAGTCCCCCCCCCAAACCCCAAGCCTTGTGGGTACCATGAAAAAAACAGGGGACTTTAGGGACCTCCAAGGCTTTTGCAAAATCTCCTTAATATTCCTCATCAGGATTGGTGTCTTGCGTGGCTTCCCCCCCCCAACTTGCCACCCTCCAGACTGAATGGGTGGATTGCAGACCCCATCACTCCAGACAGGGCTGGTGGCTGGGGCGATGGGCTTTGTAGTCTGAATGCGTGCCAGGCTCAGGACGGCTCTTGCAGCTGCCATGCTTCTTCATCTTCTTTGTCGGCCCTAAACACGAAATGTT